TCCGCTACTTTTCCCCTGCGCCCTTTGGCCATTTGTACCGTCTCGCGAGGTTTTGTTGTCGGACCGTACAATAACAAGACGACCGAGGCTCGCTTTACAAATCTGCCGTGAAGCGTGTACCTATACGCGTGTGCACAGCCGCGGGGTAGTGGTCACGGCGAAGAGTTACTGGACCCGCAGATCCGAAGGGGCATAAGGAGGCGATATCGATCTCCGCTTGAGTTCTGAGTTACGGTCCCCCGCGACCATGTCACGCACACCAAGTATATACATATGGGGGGGGGGGAGATATTTGTTTGCATTGTCGAAAATCATACACACGTGTGCCCACGTATAGTTTTAGTCGTCCCTTTGCCCTCGGACTCGCCGTTTGTATCGTACCGATCGCTATAGCGCGCCTGGAGCTCGCATTATGCGGTATTTGCGTCGTGTTACGAAAAGTCGAAGCTTGTCTCGAGGTGTTTGTTTTTCCCGGCTATATTTAGATGTTACACGACAGATAACCCAACCTGCCCCACCCAAACGCGCGTAAGAGCTATACTCTTTTTTTTTTCCGAGGCTCGTAAGAGTAATATTACTTTGATTTCGAGTTCGCGCATCACTGAATCATCGATGAACCGATCCAACGTATATAACATTGGAATTTCAAAGGAGCCCTCGAGACGGCGAAGAGGGAAAAAAACCATCGCACCGGCTGAATAGTATGGAATTCACGCCCCCGCGTCCCCATGATGAATATCCCCCTCGATTGAGACACCGTCCCCCGCGCCTTCGAGATGCAAATCGTCTCTCGCGTAAACACGCGCATCGATGAAATCCGCGCGGCGGCTCGTTTATATAAGTATGTAACTTTGTCTAATAACGTGCATGGTTATACACTATCCTACGTAACCAAATCTTGATGTTAGCCGGCTAATACGAGGCTCTGGTGAGTATATTACCTGCAGGTACACGCGAACTAAGGAAGACGCATCAGGGCCCCGAAAGCTCACGCACGATCTCGGCTACAGATACCCGCGGAGCTCGAAAGTATCACTCGAATGGGGTGTAAGTGAGTATATACAGTTTTAATTTATACCACAGATATGTATCTCTACCTTCTTACCCCTTCCGGCCCTTATGGACGCACGTATTATATACATGTGTTTACAGCACCACCGCGGAATAACTCATAGGCATGCCTGTGATATGTACCTACTTACACGCACTCGACTCGCGGCGTCCGAGAGAAATAAATAAACAAATGAATCCCCTGCAGACGTACTCGTGTATATACGCTCGCGAGAGAGAGATGAGGATGCGCGCCGATAATTCGAGTTCGCGCACGCGAACGCCAGAGATATACTTTTCGAAGAACTTGGAATAAGTAGGTATGCGCGAGAGACTTTTTCCACGTGTTGTCTATTCTCCTTATGCATACACGTATATAAATACGTAATTTATAGCGTCCCTGATAAATTCACGCTTTGGTTTTTTTTTTTTGCATATCGCATCGTACGGCATGTATATAAGTAAGAGAGCTAAAACGCGCAAATTCCGTGTGTTATTTTGATCGGGTTTTATGAAATCATCAAATGTACAACGTAAAAGTATATGTATAACTCGGACATTATCTGCGCGTATATTTATATACACCTAATACTTAACTTGCGTCACGCGTCCCTCGAACGATTTTACTCGCGCAATTACATTTACCTGTGCATATATATTTATACCCCCATGTGTGTCTGAGTGCAGCGATTGTGCACTCGTGTATACGTATCGAGTAAAAGGCGTTCGCGTTAGTTTTAGAACATTGCACCTATATATCCTCGCCTTTTGAGATTATATGCGAGAGGGAAAAAAAAGTAGCGTTTCACTCTCTCTTTCGGTAAATAGGTGTATACGAGAACGTCAGAGGAGTCTCTTCCTCTCTTTCTTTCTTCTTTATTTTATCTGCCCAAAGGTAAGGTACATTGTACGCCACACAATGCATATAATGACCATAATGCGTACCAGTGAGCTCCGCGCGAGGTATACATGCATATATACGTGTACAAGACACCGCAAGCCCCGTGTCTGCACCCTTGCACTTAACAACACCCAACTATATAGACATTAAACGCAGAGTGTGTGTGTGGCATACTTACGAGGCGTTGGCCTCGCTTGCTCGCCTTTTTGTTTGTTTGTTTGTTTTCCTTATCTTTACGAGCGTGGGCGTGAGCGTCCTGCGGCTTACCTACATTCGGGAAAAGCAAAGACAGAGCGGTGGTGCAGGAGGAGGTGTAATGTGTTCCCGTGCACGCTCGTTGTTTTTTTTTTTTTTTTTTTTTTTTTTCTTTTCGGACACCAGACACCTCCTCGTTCCATTCACCAGTGGGTCGTGCTTTTAAGCGCGTCCGATTGTATACATACTTGAGCGTGAAAGCAAAGCTAACGAATCCCAGTGACATGGATACAAAGTGTTGCCCGGCTGGCCTCCTTTCGCGCGAGTATAGGATCCGCGGGCAGAGAGATAACCCGTTTTGAATTTTTCGCCTCGCGCGCCAAAGCGGCCACTTGTGTATAGGCTCTCCTCCTTCGGGATTTCGGATGCCGCGTGATTGCCTTGAGTTTTTTGGTGATCCAGTTTGTATTACCTTTTTTTTAAATTATTATTTGCAAGGACCCTTTTTGTGATTATAGTCAAGAATTTTTTCGTTTTTTTTTTTTTTCTACAAAGCTTAAGAATGAAATTTCAAAAATTCAAAGATTCGTTGCACGCGAAATCACGAATCTCGTTGGTGTAAATCAATTTATCGAATAACGGGGCGATTAGTCATGATAATATATGAATACGACTGCGTTTACTTTTAGCTCGATGATTTATTTACAATTAACCTCGTTCTGCCCATTGTTCCGAATAAAGTATATTTATGTGTGTTGTATATCATACCGATAAAGTAAAAGTTTGCGTATATGCGTGCCGCTCGATATCACGTATATATATATACGTATGGTGCCATTGTAAATCAGTGAATATGACGCGCATTTTTTTCTTGAAAATTTAATTAATGAACGCGAAAGGATGACTGGCTATGACTAATAATTCCGTAACAACTGAGTATACTATACCAGCGTGGAACGCCAAATTCGCAGGACTACTTTTTCGTTTGACCTTGTGCCACAAGCAGATGGGTATTAGATCATATATTACATCTTAAATTAATTTGGCGTTTTTTTGGCCACTGAATCTTCGGTGGTATTTGAATAATTGTGTAACTCACAATGTCTCGTTTGTGAGTGTTGATGTTGCTAAACCACGCGTTAAAGGTCACGGGTATCTATTATACTTTGACACATACTGGCCATTTCGAATCACGAAAAATCTCCGTCTCGAAGTCGAAATTAATCAACGTAAAATAATTAAAGCCACCAGTCTTTACAATAATTATGCCTCGAGTTAACCAGAAATGGTCACGCAAAGTACAACGTGTGAGGAAAAACTACTTTTTTAACGAAAAAAGCTATTTTATGCCTTTAGGCGAGACGAGTTTGCACAAGAGAAATCTATGTACAAACAACAATTTAATCATGATCTGTCGAGGACACAAAGGATCCTCGCCTGTGGCTATTATATTCCCATACGAAACCTGTACGAAAATATTGGAATTACCGCATCAGAGGAAAATAGAAAATTAAATTCCCATGCAGCTAGATCATTGTGCTGTGGGAAATTTAAAAATCCCAAACAGTACAATATAATCAATGGATAACCCATGAGCGATTGGACGGACGGACGGACGAAAAACTCGGGCTGCTGCATTGTACACCGCAGGAGAGCCGAGTGAAAGCCAGTTTTGCACGCACCTACATTACACAGATGAATAATGAAGCGCGAACTTTACGAGCAACAGCAGCAGCACATAGGGCACCACAAAGAAGCTCAAAAGAGACGGAGTTCAGAGAAGGATATTCTGTGCTGGTCTGGGTGCAATTGCGCAAGGGGCCATTGTCAATACTTCTCCTCCTAAAAGGAACGAGGGAATAATATATTCCCTGCCGATATGCGCGTACATTGCATATACGTGGGCCACGGTTTACCCATAGTTGTATCTGCAATCTCGTAACGTTTGCATGTATGAGAGATGGTGTGCGCGCGTGTGTGATGGATTTTTCAAGCGATCGACAACTTCATTAATTATGTGGCCCCTGCGAGCGTGGATGCGCGGTCTTTCGTACAGCCAAACGCTGGGGTTTTGGTTATTATGAATAAAAACCTAAACGTCTTGCGTGTTGGTATGTTCTCCCTGTATAGGAGTACTGTGAGAATTTTCGTCTTAAAAACTAATTTTTTTTTTCTTTCTTTTTTCTTCATAGCTGTATCTTTAATGTGATAGGTATTCCAACGACGCATGAGTACAGCGAACAATTACCTTTTTTTTTCTCGTAGAAAAAGTTTTAAATAAACGTTAACCGTGTCTCTACGCACTTTGTGTAACACAAATAATGCATCGAATTAGTTTTTTTATATGACCGACTTTGTATATTATTTGTTCAAACTGTCAACATCAAAAGTTGCGCGTAAAAAAATATTATCATGTGATTGGTGAAACTTTTTCATTAATGAAGTTGCCCGTATATTGCAAAACATGGCGGTGTAGTATATGTTAATTGTGTAAAAGCCATCCATCCAGTTTTATCAGGATCAGTGTAAGACTTTCATCAAATCGGGCAAAGAAATATTGGGTAAAGTAATTTATATACATCATTATCGCTATCGTTTACGAAAAATATAAATAAGACTGTTCAAAAATTATACCATATGCTGAAATGCATTTCCGATTTCTTTTAGTAGTCCGTGACAACTCCTTCACTGCATAGACCGTGGTTTCTTATTTGTCTGAGTCAATAAATTCAAATAAAAATCAAATTAACTAAACGGTACCATCAAACGACGCACAAGCAAACCAACGCGGAAGATCAACTTTACGTTTACCAACAGTGTTCGAAAAGGGTTGCTCAGAAACTACATCTGCCAAATGTCTTTGAAAAATTTGGCTGAAAAGTACGCTGTTGTCACGGCCGAGAGAAGTCACGGTGACCACGAGCCCCACGTTTGCCGAGTGTGCTCGAAATGTTTTACTCGAAAAAAAACTCTAGTGAGGCACGAGAAGGCTCATACGAGTGATAGGCCCAACATCTGCCAAGTATGCTCGCCATGTTTAACTAAAAAATCGGATCTCACGAGGCCCAAGCAGACCCATGAGGCTAAAAATCCTGACAAGTGCAAACACTGTTCGAAAAGTTCAACTAGTAGATCTAGTCCTACGATGCCCGAGCAGACTCACTTTGGTGACAAGCCCAACGTCTGCCTAGTATGTTTGCAAAGTTTTACTCAGAAATCGGATCTTTCGAGGCATGATTCAAGTTCCATAGATGATACATTTGTCTCCCAAATGTGCCCACAAAATGTAACTCAATCATCGTGCGAGCGAACCCACACGGGCAGTTCATCAGATGCAAGTTCGGTGCTACCCTCATTTTCGAGTTCTTTCCAAAGTGAATTTTATAATTGAATGAAATTGGCTCAGGCACCTACGTATAAAAATACGGGTTTAAGCTAGATGATGCTCAAAGCTAGCCCTCTCCTTTAACGCCTATCTACGATTTAATTTCAAGATCTACGGCTGCATCGTAGGACATAGATGAATTTTAAAATTGAGATCTACTTGCATCTATAAGGAACGGTAGAACATACGATGGAAATTATATTTTCAACATGCAGAAGAGAAAATTTCAAATTAGTTTCTCTATTTAAACCAATTAAACGAAACACCTATTCTAAAGACATTTGCCATTTGCGTATACAATTCAAGAGCGAACAGCATAAAAGAAAGCCCTACCAATGACGTAGCTGAAAGTTTCTTAATTTATTGCTGATTAAAAAAAAAAAAAAAAAAAAAAAAAACATTTTTTTGTCAAAAAAGTATAATTTCTGTGTATCATACGACTTTTTGTCGATTGTACAAAATCCTTGAATAAAAATTTAAAAAAATAGCATGATACAAAAAAATAAAATTCAAGTTTTTTCATTTAATTCCTGCAAAAAATCTGTTTTTATTCCTTTACCCTTATCATTATTCCTAAAATTATGTAGATATATTATGAAAAAAATTTACATCGCTAGTAAATAATAGAGCATAAGTATTAGAATATCAATTGCTATACGAGTTAATGTTTTAAATTTGAATGAGTTCAATTACTGATTTTGGACAATAATATGGATAATATAGGTGTTCATAGCCAAATTAATTGTAACTAGCAAAAGTTTTCTCGACAGTTGGAAGAATTACCGGCGAGTAACTCATGAAAGTTTTGTTTTTTCCTTCCACAAACTCATCTAGATTGAAAACGAGCAGGTTGTGATGTGGAAAAAAAGGGCAATTATTGGATATAAACTTTTTGAGATAATACATATGTAAAACCATCGAAATATCATGTTCACGTATTTACTTAAAATTATTTTACACCCAATGCTGAGCAAAAAAAAAAAAAAAAAGAAGGATATTTCTAAACAGCATAGGTTGAGTTGCAAAAAGACAAAAAGTATGCAAGTACAATATGACGTTGTTTGAAAAAGTAAAAGAAAAAGCGAGGCTGAAAAAAGTACAGGTGCAACATTAGCATACCGATTACCCCTGGCTACCGTAAGACGAGCTGAAAAGCTCACTGCCGCAATATTATGCTAATTGACTGGTGGGCTCTGCTGTGCTCGGCGATTATTTAAAGTAATAGGTATACACTCGTCTTCTTCCCTCTCGCACCGGGGATGTACTTATATCAGTGTACAGACATAATTAACGTCATTCGCGTTACGAGCTCTGCCGCTCGTAAAGTCTTACAAAAAAAAGTACTATTTTTCGGGTGAGGGGGAGGGGCACAGGCACCTACAGCACTTGGCACAATACTATAATGTATATATATATGTATAAATTGTTTGCACACACTTACTCTTGCGCGATGTACAACAGTACGAAAAAAAGGGACGGCGAAGCTCCTGTAACTCACCTGAAACAAAAAATAAAAGAAAATCATCGTTAGAGGACTATCCGTTCAACGTACAGGGGGGGGGGGGGAAGAAGAAGGTTCGCGCTGCCACTGGCTTTGATTTCTGGAAAAAAGTAATAAAACGCAAAAAAACTCATGAAACTCGGCGTTAGAATGTTGCTTGGATTTCGCAACCTCTAATTTTCAAACAAGTAACAAACCGAGCCAAAATAGTTTCGTGCGAGGAGTCATTACTTATTATCCTTGTGTGAAAATCTGCCAAAGTGTGGTACACACTCGCGTATACACATATGCGCGTGTAATGTAAAAATAAAGCACATAAAAACTCGCGCGTATACCAGCGCCCACTCCCCGCGGGAGTCTCGTATATTGGCAGTGGCACCCATACAGCGAAGCTCCTTCTTTGCACACATTAAATTATAAATATATGTACACTATAAATGATGAACGGCTTCGGAAGGTCCGCCCACTCTGAATAGGAGGGCATCTCCGTGGCAAAAACAGCAGAGGCGTCGCATATACGTGTAGGAAAAAAAAAAGAGAAAAGAAAAAAAAAAAACGTTAAGGCCAAGCGTAATGTATACGCGCGTCGCAGCGCTTTTCTCCGCATAATAATCGCACCATGCATATAGCGTGTATACATATATGTAATGTATATACCATGCACTGGAGAGAGTTAATCTCGTTCATTAGATGGTTTCTTGCGAAATCGAGATCTTCCACGCAATGTATATATATATAATATATTCTTAATTATAACGATATGATTTCTAACTCTGCCGAACGTCGCGTCCCTCGTTAGCTACCAAGTATACACATGGGCCTTGTAAAAGTGGTGTACACCGACAGGTGCAATTTTTTTTTTTTTTTTGCCACTTTCCTTTTATTTATTTCATTTTTTTTCCAGGACCATGTGTTTGTTGCCTTCTGATGTATATACCCCTCCCTCCCTTGCAAAGGCCGACTATTGAAATAATATAATATACCCATTATTCTTTGCAAAAGAGTGCGTGTGTGCCGCGTAAACGTCGGATCCTTTTCAACGTATGGAAGCGCGCGGTTGTTGTTATTATTGCTCTTGTACTTTATCGAGGCAATAAATTGCGAGGTTATTCACGAGGAGGTGGCCATTAAAACGTCCGGAGGGAACGCAGGGGGCAAGATAGGGGGGATAAAGGGATCGGCGCAGGTAATGCTTTTGTAATAAAACGTATCTATTGGGATATGGAAGCAAATTCGCGAACGTATTCGAGTCTTGTACGTAATATACGTAATGGTTTTGGGTTTTTTGGTAATGGGTATGGACGAGGGACGGTTCATGGCGAGGGTTGCCTCCACGTTGGCATTAATTGAAGGCGAATCCAATCTTTGGGTGCTTGATTTACGTATTAATGCGAGCAGGATTTGTAATAGCAGGTGAAACGAGAGCAAAGATGGTTACTTGCGAAACATCCTTTGCAGCAAAAGGATCGCGTGGGTATTGCGATATTTTGGCAGTCAATTAGTGTACACCTACGTGTACGCAACGCAACGCAAAAAAAAAAAGTAATAATAAAGATCGCCAGCAGAGGTGAGAGTTTGATTTGATGTGTCAGAAACAATTTTTTCGTACGGTTTGTCATCAAGGATCGAATGATGAAATGCCAAAGGTATTAAGGTCAAGCAGACGGCCGACGACGCTACAGCTCACCCGCGTGTGGTGAAGAAAAAAAAAAAAAAAAAAAAAAAAAAGTACAATGCCACAGGTAGAGCGTAAACAATAAGCAGTGAACTCGCATTGTGTAACGCGGAGGCCTGTCACGTCGGCCAAGATATGTAACCTATATGCAGTATACGTATACAATACATATTTGCACTTCTTACGCGTGATGTTTTGCAATAACTCTCGGACTGTCGCAATTTTCCAAACAAGACTTTTATTTGTTACTGCATCAATGACTTTATTTGGTAGATGTATTTGCTCGTATAGTTCAAATTGGTTACATTTTAACAAATAGTGAAAAATGTTTTTCACTTGCCGATTTCTCGCCGTAAGATTCTAATGGAATAAAATTGTATTTCTCTGATTATAACTGCCAGACAATAAGTGGTTAAGTGATTTAATTGTGCAGTACTACTCTTATTGAAACATTTGGCTGTAAAATATTTTACCAAAAAAGGCATAGAAGGTTGTTACATTTTCATCGACATTTCATCAATAAATATTAATTTCTCATTTTCATTTATATATTAATTTTCATCAAGATTGAGAATCCATGAACAAGTACTAATATTTATATTCTTCAATTTCAGATCGATGTAATTTGCTGCTAAAACGATTGATAAAACATTCCTAAAAAAGATGTTAACATGAAAATTTATACCTTTGCATGTTCAAGGTATGAAACAATTTTATTGTTAAAAGTATTTGAATTGTGCACAAATAAATTTTGTCACAATTTATAATTTTTTTATAATATAAACTATTGTAATTTACATATTTTAGTAATACAAGTTTATACTATAAAAAAAATACTTGATGCTGGTTTTAATTTGGTTATTTTATTTCTCTGTTAGCTTTAAAGTCTTTAAAATTGTAGAACGAATAAATCTTTATTCCTAAGTACTATTATGTCAAAACCATTTTTTAAGACTAGCTGAAATATTGTGTACGAAAATTTATGTGGACATAGTTGGATTATATGTGAAAAATATTTTGTGTTCAACAAACTGTGCATGACAAAAATGTGCACGATCCTTGTGTGCACTGGGCATAGTCTGCCAGTTTTCATAATATAACATTACAACAATAATGAACATCTAAAATCATGTGTGCTGAAGGATATGAGAAAAAAAATGTGTAAACATGTAGCCAAGACTTGGAGATTAATTAATATATGGCAATTCTTCATACCATGAGCTAAACATCAGTAGAAAAATTGTACAATCATACGCTGAATTTTAGGTTAATGTAACTCTCATTTTTCAAACTCTCATTCACATATCGCAGTACAAACAAATCAATTAGAATGTTAATGCTTGAACTTGTGAATGAAAACATTATTGCGAACGATTTTGAAATAACATTGATTTTCTTTTATATTGGAATCGTAATTATTTTGCAACAGGTATGAGTAATCATCTTATGAATAATAGGCGTAAACGTCAATGAAGAAGAAATGTAGAAAAAACTGAGTTCTTAACGAAATCAAGCATTCCGTAGCTGAACATGTACACATGTATGTCACACTTGCGAAAACATAATAATCACATAAATTAATAATAATTAAATATGTGTAAGAGTAAACCTAAGGCTTATAAACAGTGTAGTATCAAAGGTACGTACTTCGAATGAATAAAAAAAAAACTATAAACGTAAATGAAAAAATAATATAATTAAAACGTCATCTTTGTGTAAAAAGTATGCCGTAATGTCCGAGGCTAATGACACGTTCTTTCTTTTTTTCACCACTTCAAGTTAATTGTCTTATCATCCCAGTTCTCACGTCGGTAATGACGGCGACATATA